CAAAACTTTTACACAATGAGTAAAAAATTCTTGAAAAATTTTCGAAAAATATACTTTTTTGGAAAATGAAAATCCCTAGATGGGCGTCACTCACAGCTCGCTGAGGTTCCCGTCGATGAGCACGTGCCAGTTCTCGGGCTCGAAGGCGCTGAAGCGGATGCACTGCATGCTCGAGTCTGCGTACGGGTTGTCGCAGTCCAGGCCGTAGTCCTCCTCGAGGGCGCCCGTCTGGTTGGAGCTGGGGTCGGGGGACATCTCTGGAACGGAGCGCGCGGTGAGGACGTGGTCCCGGACACGCGAGGACGGCGACGAGAGAACGTCCTCGAGGACGTCGCCACACCCACCCGCCATGCCGGGCTCAGTCTTGACGTGGATGCGGCCGTCCTGCGACAGCTTCCTCTTCTTGGTGGGCAGGACGGGGCTGGAGGCCACGGCGCCGCCACCGCCGGCCAGCCCCGGGTACACGACGGACTGGCCGTCGCCGTGCATGGCCAGGGGAGGGGAGGCCACGGCGGGCGGCAGGCCGGCGGGTACGACGGGGTGCTGCACCAGGATCATCTCCCCGCCGGCGCCCTGGAGGTGGAGCGTGTGCGTCGGGCCCGCCGGCAGCCCCGCGGACAGGCCCGCGGGCGGCAGGTCGACGAGGTGCTGCCCGGCCACCAGCGGCCCGGCCAGCGGCCCGGACAACGGCCCGGCCAGCGGCTGGTGCACGGGGTACATGGGGTGGATGAGGATGTCCTGCAGGGTGTGCGCCCTCCCCGCGCTCAGCCGCTGATCTGCAGTCAGTGTCGTTTACGTTACAAAAGTGTCTGAAACTGTCAAAAATGTTTGACACTGCAAAAAGGTGTTTGACACTCTCAAAAGTGTTTGAAATCGCCAAGATTGTTCTATAAGCTTGACAAACATGTTTGCCGGCATCGACAAAATTAATTAAAAGTGCCAAATACTCGGTCGACATAACGTCAAACGAATGGCCAGTTCGTGCCGGAAGCACCCGGGGCGGCAGAGCTATATGTAGTGTTACATCACTGGCGGGCTCCCTTCGGCGGCCGCGTCCGGAGCGCTATGCACACTCCAGCGCGGGGGGCTCACCTATCCGGGCTGTGTGGGTACGGCGGCATTTCGCGCGCGGCACACCGACTCACTTTTCGGGGCCCGCTTTGCGCGGTTCTGGCTGTCCGCTCACCGCCCAAGGTCGGCCCCCCCGCGGGCTCAGGCCGCGCTTGTCGATGCCGGAGTAATGAATGGATACGACACGACGTTGAGGCGCCGCCCCTGGAGGGAGACGGGGAGGGGGGGGGCACATGCACGCTGCGCGCGTGCCGGCCCGGGTCCGAAAACGGAGCGATATTATTGTTCATGAAAACTGTACCCCCCCCCCCCCCCCACAAGGAAAATGTGAGGGGAAGCCGTGAGGAAAAAGCACCCACCATGATTAAATTATCCCCTCGAGAAACTTTCTTCCCCAGTGCGGCATGTGTGTTTCGTCGCGTGAAGCCGTGAGAAGAACACCCCCATATGGTCAATGTACCCCAACAAGTAAGTGTCTAGCGTCTCTCTTCAATCTTTTTACTCGTTTAGAGGGCCGTGAAAAAGACCTCGCCGCCGGCGGGATGTACTCACGTGGTGACTGTCCTCCGTGATCCTGGGGCGAGTACGGAGGCTCGGACCCGGAGTCCGGCGGGCTCTCGGGCAGGCCGTGTCTGCGGCAAAGAGGAGGGCGGTGAGACACGGCCAGCATGTAGAATAAAGATATTTTCTAGCTAAAATTGATAGCTAAAATACGGGATGACTAATTATATAGCAATGTAGAGCTAAAGATTAGCTATGTGGCCATGAATTTGGATGAATAGCTAATTCTAAGGCACATATCTAAATAATTAGTTCACCCGTATTTTTAGCTGTTGCTCTATCTGGCTATAATTATAATGGAGTGCAGAGAGAGGGTCAGGGGTGGTACTCACGAGGGGATGACGTACACGCCCGCCACGAAGGTCTTGTTGGAGTCCGGCTGCGGCGGTGGCGCCAGCGGCTGCCCCAGGTCGTCGCCGGGGGCCGCGGCCACGACGGCCGCGTGGGCGCGGGCCACATCGCTGGTCGCCAGGGTGTCATCAAAGTACCTGCCGCAAACGACAACAATAACAACCAACGTCCAACTCCACGCTACGCTGCAATTATTACATCACTCGTTTTTGTTTTCACCCGCCAAAAACTTGAAATGTACTCGTTATAACGACATTAATCCTCGCATTAGTCGTAGGCGTAGAATGTACTCACGTTCCGCTGGCGTCTTCATTGATGTACTTTTCGAGTTCACAGAAATCAATGCCGTCGTTCTCGATGCCCTCGAAGGCGTTCCGGTCTGCAACAAGCAAACAGAGGGGAAGGGAGGGATGAATAAACAAGAAGAGAAAGAGAAAAAAACACAAGAGAGATTACAATCAGCTGCAGCAACACCACCGCGACTGCAGCCCGCACCGTGTAAATAATAGGCGAGGCACGCGCCACAAAGTGACCGCCGGTCAAACAGACGCGCGTGCAGGCCGTGCAGGCGCACCCCCGCACTTGTTGAACGTACGCGCCTAATTACCAGCAGCCCGCTTAGCGCTCAGCAAGCCCCGCGGGCTGTGAGTACACCCCTCACCCCCCCCCC